ATGATTAGAGATATTGCAAGAAGTCGCAGTTTGTCCTCACCTTCTTCTTTTTCCAAAGATACTACAACGGAATGTACTCCTGGTCGCTGTGAAACAGTGTCCTGTATATTATTAACACATGCATGGCAAACCATGCCTTTGATAGATATGACCGCCTTCCTTTGAGTACTGTTAGCATGCAATGGCACTTTGGCATCTGCGATAGTAATGTCTACAGCATATACAGTAAGCGATAATGCGCACCTTTAGGTATATCCTTTACTTTCGCCTCAAAGCCCATGTCATCTATGCTTTCTGCGACTTTTTCTGCTGTCCAAAGTGAAGGATCAAAAACAACAACACCTGAAAATGATTATTAAAAAGACTAATAGTAAAAGACAATAAATGCACCTTCAGCAGCTTCCAATGATACTGTACACGAACGAATTCCCGGTCGGGTCCCTATCGTATCTTGAATGTTATTGACACATGCATGGCAGGTCATTCCTCTTAAATTATTCTTAGAAAAAGCAACTTTTGAGGCACATAATTTCGAAATTTGACTTACTTAATGCTAACGACGGTTGTCTTTGCCTGATCTTGTGATGCTACACTCGTTTTCGCAATAGAGTTGTGAGATGGAGGTGCGGGTATCCTGCAAAATTTCCTGAAGTTACATCCGAGAAATTTGCTCCTTCAAGTACTGCTTCAAAACAACTAACACCATGCAAGTAAAAATCTCCCTATAAGAAAAATAGAGAAATTTTAGCATTAGCAAGCCACTGTAGCGAATAAGTAGCCACAATCATCGTAAATAGATGTAAAAGAAAACCGGGTCATTGAAATCGTGGTGTTGAAGCCAGTTCGAGGCGAAGACGTGTAGCAATGTTTTCAGATAAAATTTTTTTCAAAGCCCACCTGTCGACTCAATACACATGACCTCAAGATGTAGTTAAGTAAAAAATAAAAAATACAACTGCATAAACGCACAACTGGTCGGCCAGCTGTATTATGAGCGCATGCTTCAACCTCCAATCATTTAATTTTGACTAGGAACTGGAATTTAGCTGCGATGCAAAACGGTAAACAGTATACTTCAAATCGGTTCTTTTTCGCTCTCGATCCAATATCTCGCAGAAAAGGTTACTAACCACAAAGGGACAGGATTCCATTTGGATAGTGAATCGATGAGACATTCACAGTCACTTTCACTAGTGACAATCACAACAAGAAAATCGAAACAATTCTTGGGTTTTTTCCCGCTATATTCAAGACAACGCGGAAAAAAACTTGCTTTTACATCTCATCTCGTATTGAACGCGCTCTAGCCACACTGTCCAATCTCACCGAAACATTTGTTAGACGATAAATTGAGTCAAGCGCTGTCATGCACCATCATCAAATCTTTTTTTAAAGATGTGGACCAGTTAAAAAAAGTGAGCATTCATTTCATCCTCAAAAACCCTTATTAATGTTACCTCCTTACGTGTAACAATGCGAACTTGGAGTTAAGCTTTTAGTTGACTCGCAATTTTTCAGCTTCTGTATGAAAAACTATTATGGAAAAGAAAGTAGGATTAACTATTCTTGGGAATTTCTCAATAGTAATAAGGAA